GTTTTATTTTTGTTTAATAATTTTACCCTTCTTCTTCAACATGTAAAATTTCTGCACGTGTTGTTTGTCGAGCAGCGAATTTTGCTTTACGTTCTTTTACATAAAGCCATTTTCTAGTACGACGTGTAGTCATTTTGAACAAAAACAAACAAAATTTCCTGTAAAAAAACCCTATAAAATTGCTAAAAGAGGATATTATGAATCATTCATCGTAAAAAAATAATAATCAAGCAATCAAATCCTAAAGGATAGATGGCGTATATAAGCAATTGATCAGCTTGCCGAATATTTCTGGTACAGTTCGAGGTACACAGCTATTTGATTAGATAGAAGAACTCTATATCTTTATTATATTAAACTATTATCTATTTCAAAATAGAACAGCTGTCGGCAATTTTTGAATAACTTTCACTAAGAACAAGATAGAGAGTTGCAGTTTTCACCATTACAAAGATTTTAAAAGCAATATTCTGGATGCATTTTTCAGTTGACTTCGACTTTTAAAATGATTGGTAGATATGAAAAATTATCCTCTTTCGATCTACGCAAGATCGATATTGCTAGTTTGTTCTATGCAAAAGTTAAAAGAGTTGTCGTGAGACTCCCGATTTTAGCCAATTGGTCTAGGATTACCCGCAAAAGCATCTGAACAGGAGTAATTCACCTTACTGAGTCGAATGGTGATATTTTGCTTTTGAATTCTAAATGATCTGGCACTGTCATTCGACTCAGCATGGTGAATTACCCGTGTCGACATGCTTTTCTGGACGATTCCAAGTCAATTGGCAAAAATTGAGAGTCTCAAGAGAACCCTGTTAACTTTTAAACGAAACAAGCTAGCAATGTGTCGCCCTTGTGTAGATCGAAAGATAACAATTTTTCTTATCTGCTGATCATGTTTGTAACCGAGATTCACTGAAAAATGAGTCTAGAATATCATTTTTAAAATATCCACCAAGAACTGATCTGACTGATCCAGTTCTAGTCAATAAAATTTCAGCACCTATATATACGCCTGGG